TCTCTCTCTCTCTCTCTCTCTCTCTCTCTCTCTCTCTCTCTCTCTGTCTCTCTCTCGCTCTCACTCTCTGAATGCACTCACTTCTCTAACCCTATTAGCTATGGTGGTTGTTCTTCTTCCTCGCTAGCCCCTAGCTATGGTTCCTCGGTGCTGGCTTCCCCACCCAACGCCCGACCATGCTCCTCATCCGCCGCACCGCTTCCGCAACATGCGGATTGACAAGCGAGTAACTCGAAGTACTGTAGCAGCTTAAATACTGGGCCGAATTGAGACCTTTGTTGGCTCCAGACCGGTAACGGTCTCCCAAGGCCTGTCTGGCGGCACTTTTGCCAGTTCCAGAACCCACCAGACTTTCCCAGGATGCTGCTGGTAAATAAGACTGGGATTTTGTCGGGTACTGGGCCTCTCAGACCTCTTAAGCCACCAGTACATCCAGCTATCGGCCGCTCGCCCTTTTCGGAGGCCGCCCGCCGCCGATTCGATTTATCTACGGCGTTGGGCCTCCAAAAATTTCGTAGGCGACGAGTTTTCTTTTCAGCAAGGCTGGGGCCGTGTACTGGCGGTTTAAGGACCTGAGACTTCCTAGCGACCTACTGGACCTAAGTTTGGCATTTCGGCTGCTACGCCTGCCGTTTCAGTTACTTTTACATGGGAGTGGGACCATTGAGACTCTGGGACCATTGAGACTGGGACCATTGAGACTCTGGGACCTGGACTTAGAACATGACTGGGATGTGAAATCCTTTCAGAACTGAAGCCAGCTAAAATACCCTCACTGCAGTGGCAGATCGAACACAGATGTTTGCCGACTAATGACTGGCTCATAGACCACACCCACCTGGAACAGAAGGGACCCACCCTACCTGGGTGTAACTTTTGCCTAACCGGATACCCCTCTTGCAAGATCTGGGAGACAATCGAACACATTTCTATCCATTGTCCAGGGGCAATAGTCACCTGGCGATGGCGGTACAGGATCCGGCGTATGTTAGGGGCAATGACTGACCCTGACCGGCCATGGGATTGGAGGGCGATTTTGTGCAGGGCACGGCACCCACCACAAGCTGACATGTTCTTCTCCAGCATGTTTAAACTGGGGCGAAAAGCGATCTTGTGGGCGGTGTGGTGGAAATGGTCCACACATGAGATGGAAGCTGTGTGGACTGAAGGCGAAGAATTCGCTGAGACCATCAAGCACCAGATTCAAACTGAGCTCCTTAGGATATGGACAACAGTGAAACGGACGTTGGGATCTCGGAACGGCTGCTCAACCCAGTGAATTCATTGGGGGCGTGTACTGGCGGTTTAAGGCTGCTCAACCCAGAAGAGCTGGGGCTATGTGGGCCTGGGTAGCCAGAGCTGCAATTCTTGGGTCTATTTGAGAAATTCAGGAATGACAGGATTTTCCGTAGGCGGTTCTATTCTGACTCGGATATCAACGTTTTTTATTTATTTATTTATTAACAAGTGCTCCAGTCTATTCGTGGGGAGCAGCACGTGCTGGGAACCAGGCCCAGCATCCCATATCGAATTGTACAGGTCATTGAGAACATTTGACATCGTTTGAGATCATTTGAGATACGGGGGCCATTACCCGGCTTCGCCTGAGAACAATCTGTGAACACGATGTGATTCAGAAACATGGGGAGGATCATGAGTATCTAATGACCTATTAGGGAACTACTCGTGCAATAACCTGCTACAGAGGTCCTACGAATGTTCACAACCCTCAGGTTCCCTAACAAACCCTTCTAAGACTTCCCAACACCGTCTTACTTAGTTCTTGACCACGTTCGCACAATGATCTGGGAAGATTGGAGGCGAGCCACCTCGGGAGTCAGGAGAGGGCAGACACCACTCTCGCTTCTGGAAACATGGTCGATAGGGGCCCAGCTCGCTAAGTTGCATCCTACATTTGGGATAAAGGTAGCTCCTTCTCTGTTGGGTGCAAAATCTTGTTATAGATCACTTGTTGGCGGACTACCGTCTTCACCCGAATAGAATGCCCGGTCATTACAGCTGAATTTGGTGCAACTTTCAGTCCAGAATCCAGATACGGCAATAATTACTGGGCGTTCTATTCGGGTGAAGACGGTGGAGTGCTCGACTGGTTGGCAGTTTCTGGTGGGTAGGTCTGCCAATGGAAAAATCCACATGTGTATGGCGCCTGAGGGGAGGGGTGCAGAGTCAGGCTCCCGATGTCGAGTATGTGATGCATGCTCCACATGATCAACCTTGACACAGACAGTGTCAGACACATAAAAACGTTTTCCATGAAAAGAAAACGGGTGAACAAGACAGAAACAGACGGTGCGTGCTGACACACATGGGCATCTGCACGTCCAGCTGCAGAGCATGACCAGGAAAGATAGCTGGATGCTTTCATCCATCAGAGTGCATTGTGTTCGGGGGAAGCTGAATTGGATTCTCTAAGGGAGCACTGTGGAACGTTTTCCTTGAGAACAGATTGGTGAAAGAAAAATGAATTGGATCGGTTGGCTGCTTGTTATCTTTTTCTTCTTTTTTTTTGGGAGGGCGGGGGTGCGCGTTGGGGGCTCTATCGGCTGTGGATTGGGGTGTTAATTCGCATGCAGGAATTGCTGGAAGAGGCTTGTTCGAGAATGGGCGCGCAATGCGGAGCTTGCTGACCGCCAAGAAGCTCCTGGGAGTTGCGGACCAGGTTCCTGAACTGCCATCGTCGTATCCTCTCTGGGATTTGGTCCCCAGGTGCTGATTTCGTTGGCGAAGGTCCAGAATTTCTGTTGTCGTCAGCTAGTTGCCCTCTGTTGTGATCCTGATAGAGGAGGAGTCTGCAAGGGTGTGAATGACATTACGTGCATTGCAGTTATTCACTTAGAATGCTAAGGAGTCGTTGAAAAGCACTTGCTCAGTATGTGCCGCAGCTCCCTTCCTTTGTGATGGGCTCACTGGTTATAAGGAGCTAAGGGGGGGAAATGACACATACAGGCCATGGTGGAAACATTTTGGCCCGACACAGGCCACTGAAATCATACCTGAAATTATACCTGCTTCTCTCGTATGGCCAGGTGCTACTACTACTACTACTACTACTACTACTACTACTACTACTACTACTACTAGTAGTAGTAGTAGTAGAAGAAGAAGAAGAAGGTGGACGCATTCATGGACATGAATGTGAGAAGGGAAGGAGGAGGAGAGGAGGAGAGGAGGAGAGGAGGAGAGGAGGAGAGGAGGAGGAAGACACAACAGGGATGATGATGATGAGGAGGGGGATAAAGAGGGGACGATGTAGGTTGACGAGTAGGACAAGGAGGGGGAGATGGAGGTCGAGGAGGTGGGAAGACTTGGTATGGGAGTAGGTGTCAATGAGCGATTAGCAGGTGCATTGGATCGGTAGGTCCAGTGTCAGGAAAGCTGGATGGACCGTAGTCCTGCTCCACTCATCTTGCTGTCCTGGACCAGAATGGACCCGACTTGTTCCTGGTCCAGTGGTTTGGAACAGGTACTGTGTGTAGGATCTGGCAAAGGGGGAACTTTTCCGCCTACGAACTCGTTAGGCCCAGACCAACCGGCATTGAGATTGCTATAAGTGCACTTCAGTTTCCGGCCAATTAAGTCGCTGGGCTCAGTTTTTTATAGCAAATAATCATAAAAAGTAACTGTGTGGATGATTGGGGCATTAGTAGTCCTGTGAAACAACAAATAATAATGATGCTGAATTGCCTGGGGCTGGTCACCTGTGGATATATCGTATTACTGTTGCCCCTTGAGAAGACTGTTGCCCCTTCAGAAAAAAAACAGAAAACTGAAAAAATCAACAGTCCAAAAGCTTCCAAAACACATCAGCATCCACCTTTGCCCCCTCTTATCCTGTCTTCCTTCCCTCCTGCCCCCTGCTCCCGCTCTTCTTTCTGTGATGGGCTATAGTAATCTACTTTGCTGTTTTTTGTTTTTTCCATTTTGAGTTTCCTTTTTGCACTTGGATGCAGTTATCCATTCCCATTCATATACATATTGTCACATAACTATGAACTAAAAGAGTGCACTTTGCAAGACAAACAGTAAAGATTAAACAACAAGACAAACATGAGGGGCACACTGAAACCATTCATATATATATCGTATGACTGTTGCCCCTTCAGAAAAAAAACAGAAAACTGAAAAAATCACCAGTCCAAAAGCTTCCAAAACACATCAGCATCCACCTTTGCCCCCTCTTATCCTCTCTTCCTTCCCTCCTGCCCCCTGATATATACTATAAAGGGATGTGTGTTGGAGAAGGTGGAGGGAGAGCAATTGCATGCAGTGTGTTCTTTTTTTTCGTTTTTTTCCTTTTCTTTTCTTGTCTTGGGGATTCAGGTGGTCGATGTGCCTTTTTCCTGATCTCCATCCAGACCATGCGTTGTAGACCAAGCTTCCATCTGCACCGTCCAAATGTTCCCGGGAATCTCTGTCTGGATCTGAACCTGTCGGATGGGTCTGCAGCTGTCAGATGGGTGTGAACCTGTCGGAATGGGTTTGAACTTTGAACCTGTTGAATGCCTCTGAACCTGTCGGATGCGTCTGACGCTGTCCAGTGCACCCCTAGATGACTCAATAGGGTAGCGGCTACCCCTCGTCATTGCCCCCAACCTCACCGCCTGGTAAATAACTTAAAATAAGCACACGTCGCATATTAGCCTTCCTCCCTCCTCTTTGCAAGGTCATCATGGCCCTGCCTTTCCTGGGCCTGGAACCCTGGGAAGCGCCTTTTTGGGCCCACGCCAAGTTCCGGGACAAGTAAGGTCATGCATGCCTGCCCGGCACTGCTGTCTGTCTGCACTGGTTTGGCTGCTGGATGGTTTCCTTCGCTTGGGTTGTTCTGATTGTGTCTATATATGCTCTTTAGTCAGTCTATACTCATATGACACATACTTATGAGGATGGTCAGTGCATGGGTGACGGATGGTGAATGTGTGTGGGGGAGGGTTTGCTTGACATCTACGGGACATGTGTGGGATATTTGTGTGACATGTGTGCGACATGTGTGGGGCATGTGCGGGACGTGTCTAGGATATGACGAATGGCCATTCAGTGATTGCCAGACTTTGGGTTCGGATACATCCAGATGTGAGGTTATGGTCTATCCACCAGTGAATGGCCTTTTCAAGCTTAAGGAGGTGTGACATCTTTTTTCTTTTTTTTTCACATCTTTTTTCTGTCCCTTCTTCTTTTTGGGCTACAGGCTTTCGGATGGTGCGTTGAATTTTACTTGCAAATTTTTGGACAGTTTGAAGTGACTTAACTAGAGTTCTTGTAGATTCAAGGGAGAGCCAAAGTATCTCAGCAATAAGGAGTTGGAGGAGTACTTGAGGAGCCATGTGCAGCGGTGTGCACCCATATCGAGGATGTACAGGTGTGTTGTTTGCAACTTAGCAGTCCATTCATTGCATGTCCTGTGCCTCCTTACAATTCAACCTCAATCTGTTCTGTTCTGCTCTCCACTCCTCGATGCTACTCACTCACTCCCGATGATCATCATGTTCCCCGCCTCGTTTCGTCTGTTCTGTCAGTCTCGCTTCATTCCTTTTTTTTTTTTTTTTTTTTTTTTTTTTTGAGACACAGGCCCCTTCTATTATGGGGGGAAACAGTCCGGTTGCTTATCACCGGCAAGCATGTTTGTACATCCAAGAGAATGGGCGGAGAATACGAGAGAAAGAGTCAGCCTATCCCTTGCGGCCCTAGCCGCCTACAAGGGGGGACCTGCTACAGGGCATCCCTCCCCCCAATCCCTGGCCTTCCTTAGGAGGGGGGCTGCCCTGCTGGTCGGGAAGCTTACTAGCAGCACCCAGTCACGAAGCAGGGCAGCCTCCCGGTAGGCAGGACGTGGGGGGGGGGGGGGYCCCYAGCAGCTCCTCAGGCCGCATAACACCTGTGTTTGCCTGTCACTGTCTCATGCAGCATCTTATCCTTCCTCACTGAACCGGGCGAACCCCTATTACCCTTTCTTCTGCCTGAGCCTTATGCACCCCATTTATACCTATTCCGGGCCTTACGTTGTCCTGATGTTATTTTGTCCCTGGTTTCCAGCCCTGCCCCTTTAAACCATCACTACCTCCGAGCCTGTTTTTGCCGACCCTGATGCACCGAGTTTTGCTGAGCCTGGGTTCCGTTTTCTTTGTTTTCTTGTACTCTCTTGAAAAAAAAAGAAGAAAAAGCACGGTCAGACTTTCGAAAAACGACCCGCTCGCAGCCACAAAAAAAATAAAAGAAAAAAAAACAAACACCCATCTGGACGTGATACCAGGTAGATACCTAGCCCAGAGTTGTTGTGTGAGTATGCCCTTAGTGAGGGCGTTACGGCAAGGGTGTCAGGCCCACGGAAGAAGGAAAAGGACAAAAGAAATTGAAACTGAACTTAGGCCGGGAAAGCGGGTTCACACATTCTGCAAAGTAATAGTGTGGGCATGCCTTCCTCCACAAAGTGTCAGCAGGCCGTGGACCGTGCCGTGCCTCCCTGGGGGGGCACCAAAACTTAAAAAAGAAAGAAAACAAGAAACACAAACAATGAAAACCTGAAACTGGCCACCATAGCGGTTAGATATGAATGTGTGAGTTTTGGTGTGAGCACAACTTGGTGCACGACCCTTCCCTGACATGATCTTTTGTTTTCCTTTTTCTTTTTCGAAGGGGCTGAGAAGGCCCAACTGCCAAGCCTCATCTGACTCCAGAAAAGTTTGGAAACGGTGGGAAAACAGCCAGTTTTCGCATTTTCCTCAAGAGTGACAGAGGTAGTGGTGGTTGAAGCCCCCATTTTTCCCGGCAACACCTTCGTGCTTACTTTGTCTTGCTCCCTGATTACTCTCATCCTTCCTCACATTATCGTCCCTACCGCCCCATGTACCCACCGTAGGTTCACTTAGCCCCTTCCTTCCACCGTAACTTATTAATACTGGATGGTTTCAAACTACTCGCTCGAGTTATCTCCTGGGTTCACAGTCTCACTTCATTCCATGATTGCTTTTTTTTTTTTTTTTTCTGGCCAAAGGCGACTACCTTCGGATGTCATTGTCAAACTGACCAGTCCCAGGTAGGCGATTCAGGAATTTCATTCATCTACGTCCATCCAGATTCGAACCCAGGTCTGCATTTCAACAGTTCGTACCAACCAACTGAGCCAGGCGTGTTGGTCTATGATGCCATTCCGCTGCACTCGGTTTCTTCCGTTTCTGTGTTCTGTTCCACTCCTCTCTCTGTTTGATGTCATTCACGTTCGTTCCATTTGATCCTCCGTCCCATCAAATCGAACTCTGTTTTGTCCATTTCTGTATTCATGTACTGGTCCACTCTGTTTCAACTTGTGCTGTTCCAATTCTGTTCCGCAGTGTTTCATTCCATTTCATCTCGTCTTTCACTCCGCTCTGTTTAGAAATGAGTGTGTGCGTGGGTGAGGGGAGGGGGTGGGGGGAGGAAAGGGGGAGGAAAGGAGTGCGGGGTAGCCTCAAATGTTAGTGTAACCATCAGGATTTGAACTCATGATCTGCTCGTCAACAGTAACATGTGTGTATTCGTCGGCCACAAGGCATTCATTCCATTCTGTTCCATCTTGCGCTCTGTCTTCTGACTCTGTTTCCTTTCCCCTTTCTTTGTATTGCTTGTGACCATGTATTGCATCTGGGACACCTTTGCCTTCTGTCTTTTTACCTCCCACCCCTCCCTGTCTCTCTGTCTCTCTGTCTCTCTGTCTCTCTGTCTCCTCTCTGTCTCTCTGTACCTCTGTCCCTCTGTCTCTCTGTCTCTCTCTCTCTCTCTCTCTCTCTCTCTCTCTCTCTCTCTCTCTCTCTCTCGCGCGCGCGCGCGCGCGCGCGCCATCTCTCTGTGTCTCCGTCTCATTCTTCCTCCTCTTGTGAGCGGACCCTTTCGCTCCCTTTGATGCAGTGCAGAGCTGTTTTGTTCATCGGTGTTGTTCTGTGTGGCCTCTGCCTTCTTTGTAATTTGCATTCCACTTGGGCGGACCCTTTCCTTCCCTCTTGCTTGCAGTGCTGCTTTGTTGGTCGATGTGCTTATGTTTGTTTTCTTAACTGTGCATGCATTGCTGGGCACGATGAGGGTTTTCCGGATCCCTTTGGGAGAGGCTGACAGTATTGTGTCATAATGTGGTGTTGTTGTGGGCTTGCATGTGCGGATGCATCGGCAAATTGTCGCTAATTCGTTCAATTTGTGGCAATGTTTTTCCCATTTGGTCATGCGTATCCACAGCATCGGGAATTCCACTCATGGCTCACCACTGGTAAGTGTGTCGCCACGGCTTCAATCAAGCAATAGTCCTCTTGAACTTCTTGGTCCATCGGACAAAGTGTCACTCTGTGCGTCTGACATTTTCTAACCGCATTCTTTCTTCTTCTCTGCTCTTTCATTACCCCCCTTCGGCATGTGGTCACTGCATTTGTTTTTTTTTTTTTTGTCGCTTCGGTATCTTGTTTGCCTTACTTGTGTTTCCACCACACACAAATGTTGGGAAGTATGGATTAGGAGAGAGGATGAAGTACCCCGATACATCATGGCCTCTCCTGATGCCTTCCTTTCTACCTCTCTATTAGTAGAGAGGATTAAGTACCCCGATACATCATGGCCTCTCGTGATGCCAGCCTTTCTACCTCTCTCCAACTCCTGATGCCTGCCTTTCTACATCTCTCCAACTCGTGATGCCTGCCTTTCTCCCTCTCTCCCACTCTCTTGTTTCCTCGACGTCTTTCTGTTTTCTCATTTTGTTGACCTCTATTTCTCTGTCTGCTCAGCTTTTTTGATTTCTTAACAAGTGTAGACCTTGTTTGATTTCTTAACAAGCGTAGACCTTGTTTGATTTCTTAACAAGCGTAGACCTTGTTTGATTTCTTAACAAGCGTAGACCTTGTTTGATTTCTTAGCAAGTGTAGACCTTGTATCCCCACTGCCCCAAACTTTCCCAAATGGACCCCTATTTTTGATTTCTCTGCCGGCTGTAAGTGAATGTCAAGTGGTCATTTGTTCAATTCATCCAAATGGTCCAAACTGCCCCAAACTGACCCCTATTTTTTATTTAGGGTTACCTTCTGCTACTGAGGGTGTCTCTGGAATGTCTCCTCCTTGTCCTTGCTTATGGAGTTGCCGCAGTGCATTCGGCCTTGCATTCCAATTTGAAGTTGCTTTCAATTTTTTTTTTCATTTAAAAGAAAAAGCACCTGCTGTTGTCCTTTGGGACATCCATTAAAATTGGAACGATACAGAGAAGATTAGCATGGACCCTACGCGCGAGGATGACACACATAAATCGAGAAATGGTCCAAATAAAAGAAAAAGACAACAAGAAAAGAAAAAAGCACCTGCTGTAACGCATAATTAAAAGAAATCACTCAATTCATCAAAGCTACTAACCAAAGGGAAAAAAACAAAAACGCCGGTGAGTTGGGTGTGGTCTTGTGTACATTACTACATTTCTGAAGTTCTCAAGGTCATCATCTCCCTTCTGTGTTTTGTCCACTGCGTCGCTCTGGTGTGAAGGTAAACCCTACTAGGAGCTCATGACTGACATGTTATATCAGACAAACAACAGTCATAGACATGCGCATAGTACTGCACACCGCTCGGCTGCCAAAAGCAAGCAACCAAATATCCTCATGCTCTGACTGGTTCACAATTTCAGAATTTTCAGAGTATGTGTCTTTTGCCATGGTTGCTACGCAACCCCACATAATAAAGCATGACTGTGTGTGTTGGAGGGGGGGGTGGAGGGGGGGGTTGTTGGAATCGTGCGTGTGTGCGTGCATGCATGCTCTGTTATAGACTGTCACCAGAACAACCCCTTTTCCACCCAGACATGTAGATCCAAAATTGAAACAGCCTTACCGCGTAAACTTTTTATCAAGTTGTATGGGACATTTTAAATGATCATAGTGTTTTGAAAATTGTAATGTTTTGATGAACCGACCGTTTCGTTGTTGTACTCTGAGAGGTGCAAGGTCCACTACGTCTTGTGTACTTGAGAGCGTGGAATGCGTACAACCCGTTTGCTTTTCAGCACACTTGCACCTTATACTTTGTCTGTTCTCGTAGTGATCTTCATTGAATTAGTAGTTCTGTGCGTGGGGAGGAAGGAGGGGAAGAGGAGGAGAGGAGGGGGAAAGAGACGGAGGAGAGTGGAGGGAGAAGAATAGCAGTGGGTGGAAAGAGGAACCTCAAAGGGTCCTCAATACTCACCAGCAGAGAGAAGACCGCCAGAAATTGGCACAAGAGGCCAATCAGGGGTTGGGTTTTAGAGAAATGAGTTGAGGAGAAGCCGGCATTCCCTGTGGTAAATGGCCACCCCTGCAGACTGCACAGGACCGGTTTGGGAGTGGACTATGGAAGCACCAAATCCAATTCTCGTAGTTGCAGTTGCTGCATCGGATGGTGCAGTGCAGACAGATGTATTAGGCAACGTGGCTCCCACAGTCTCGGAACGCAGAGGCACGGCGACCTCAATTGTATAGGCACTGTTGTTCTAGCGCCTGTCGGCAAATAGGACATGCAATGTCAGGGTGTCCTACATGAATATAATCTTAACTGTCATCATGGGCACAGAAACAACACTTGCATGGGCTATACCCTCAGAATCCTCATGGTATAGGGCCTCGCTCCACTACTCTCCAAGTGTGCAAAATGAGAGCGAATCTTCCGCTAAAACAGGGGAACATACCCAGCCATGATTTTTGTCGGTTGTGCATATCGTGAGTAGTGGAGCGAAGCCCATAAAAGCATGCTAATCACATGCCAGCCGAACATCAGGTGGGTCATCGCAGTTCGGCATTGAATAAGCTTCTTTATTGTTCCACAGCTGACATTGCCCGTCTGTGGAGAGGTTATGACAGGGCCTAATCCAGGTAAGTGTGTTTAGCTGTTGCAAGATCTGGTCGACAACTGCTCGCTCTGGCGGGCGATAACCTTCATTACGGCGCACTGTAGGCGGTTCCTGTGAGAGTCTATTCTCCACCTCAGGCTCGGGCTCCTTCCTGCATCTTCTCCTTATCTGTCAAGGATAGAGGGGGTCGGTTTTACAGGTGCAGCCGGAGGATGCCCAACATTATGTGTGGGACGTGAATGGAGAGGATGCAGTGGATGATGGCATCGGGGATAGTCTACACAGTAGAGACACATACTCTTCATCATGGCAGCCTCTTGAAAACCTTGACGAGACATGGCACGTTGCTGACATGCTAGCACGACAGCTGGTTCACGCTCACAGTTATTGAAGCATGGCATGTGAAGGCCACAACGACATATCAGGAAAGTGATATGGGGATGAGGAGGATGAGTGCAAGACAACCTGGTGCAGTTTTCATGGCAAAGGCTGGCAATGGCCATCCTTCATAGTGTTCAAAGCAGAGATTATGACATGCACGTCCTAACTGGACTGTGCCTGTATGGTAACACAATTGCATCGCGCAGAGATTGTCGTTCAAAGAGGCCCCCGCCACCGTCAGCGACAGAATCTGTCTGATGTGCACAGGCAAGAGACACTGCCTGGCCCCTGTTTCATACACAAACTCCACAAAAAAGCATGACTGTGCCAAATTGTTTCATTGAACTTTCCCCGACTCGTCCATAGGTTGAATCCACTTTTGTTTTTGTGTTTGTCTGTCTGTGTGTCTGTCTCGACACGTGGTTGACGGAGAGCCAAAAAATTGCCATTTTTTATGACAGTTTCGGTGCAAAATTCAGCGAAAGATTCAGAAACAAACTATATGGGACCACAGTGCAAAAAGAAGAAAAAAAACAAACAGGCGAAAGAAAACGGAAATAGTTCAAAACACACACACACACACACACACACACAAAAACACTATAAAAACCTTACAGAAAAAACACTTTCCGAGTTAAAATGAAGCGTTCAAGGAATCCAACGAAATGCCAACTTCTCTAATACCCTAAAGGAAAAGGCGGGTCTTGCGTGACTGGCCCACGTGAGACACCGCTGCTGGTGGCGGGGCCCCAGATGTGGGAGATGCGAGACCCGCGGCTGCTGCCAGGGCCCCACACGCGAGACCGGTTGCGGACCGGTATCGTGGTACGAATCGGTCGTCCCGGTCTTCGTCGGACCCCGTCTTATTTCGCGCCGCGATTGAGCCGGCCTGGTGTGCGCCAGGTCCCGTCTTTACCCGAGTGGCGCAACGGTTTGGAGGAGTCGGTCGGTGGGCGGTCTGGGGGCGCACGGGGCCGGGGGGTGCAGGGGGACGCAGGGCAAAGGCGGGTTCATGCGGGCAGCGTTTCTAGACGAGCCGCGGCGCCTGTCGGGGGTTGTGCGGGGACGCGTCGTGTGGTGGGACGTCGTGTGTGTGTGTGTGTGTG